CTGATAGGAACAAACAGAACTAAATCTGGGATGTTTGAGCATGCATGTTTCCTCAAGAACCCAATTCAGATTACTTCCAGAGGTTGTCATTCTTCTTTGTGCAGCAGAAGTGTTGTGTTGTCGTTTAGCAGTATGTCGTATTGCATTAGGCAAATCTGCTGTACGAGACCTCTTTAAAGCATTGAAGAGCAAAGATGTCAGTTTGAGGACTAAGGTGCGCCTGACCCAAGCCATGGTATTTTCAATAACCTCCTGTGCATGTGAAAGTTGGACAGTGAATAAGGAAAACCAGAGATGAGTTGATGCATTTGAGCTACAGTGTTGGTGGAGAATATGAAAAGTACTGTGAACTGCCAAAAGAACAAACCAATCTGTTTCAGGAGAAGTACAGCTTAGTGGTTACGAATCGGGCTGCAAACCGCAAGGTCAGCAGTTCGAAACTACCAGCTTCTCCGCTGGAAAAACATGAGGCTTTCTGCTCTCGTAAAGATTTACAGCCTTGGAAACCCTGTACAGGGTCGCTATGAGTCGGAACCGACTCCACGGCACAACAACAACAACACAGCCAGAATGCTCCCAGGAAGTCAGCTTGGCCAGACATGGTCTCATATTTTGGACACTTTGCCAGAAGGCATCAGTACCTGGAAAAAGATATCATATTTCATAAAATGGAGGGTCAGAGAAAAAGAGGAAGAGCCACAATGAGATGGATTGGCCCAGTAGCAGTAGCAATGGGCTCTAATATAGCAACAATTGTGAGGTTGGTGCAGGACCAGGCAGTGTTTCATTCTGTTGTGCATAGGATTGCTATGAGTTGGCACCTCACAAGAACAACAGAACATTAGGTAAGAAACTCCAATGTGTAAAATATCTCACAATGAAGTAAAAATACAAAACTTTATAGGTGGGCTTCCTTAATGGTTAGTCCCATGAAGTATGGAATTTTTATGGGTGGTGTTTCTTAATGACAGGTCCCAGCATGTGGCTGTTCATGATTGAGCTTTGGGCATATCCTTTCCATCTTTACAATTGCTCAAGCAAGCAGGATAGCAGGCTTCAACGTTTCTCAGGATTTCAGCCACAAGACTTCAGTCAATAAGTGACCCGTGTTTAATCCTGATTTCTAGGTCCTCTTTTTCCCGTCTCACAGGATAATACTTTGCGCTAGAAAATTTGTGTTACTATAACTTTCTTTCTGTGGCCTACATCTTCTAGAATACCTCTGTCCGTATTCCTTCCATTCCTTCCAAGTTGTTCTTCCTTACTATATTGAACTGTTCCTCTCAGGCTTTTTTCCACACAATGAAGACTTGCCCTCTTGGAAGGGAGCGTGTGGTCCTTTGTTTCTGAGGTCTCAATGACCTAGGATATTAGACTGTCTCACAATCCCTTTGTGAATCTTTACATTAGGATTAGGTGAGAATGGAGATTTAGTCATCTAGTTGTAACTGGGATTCTGAAGGCTTTTCCCATTTTCCCTAATTGCTATTTCTAAGATTCCCATATAGTAAATTTATTTCTCCTTTTAGAGGCTGTTTTTGGAATTTCCAGAGTTCTATTAATACTTCTTTGTCCCATTTACCATGCTCCTGCTGCTGTTGTACTTTGAGTATGAAAGGTGGGGATAAGAATTTGTGTTCATCTTTAATAATTCAATTTTGTCAAAGTCATCCTTTTCTTCCTATTTTAGTTTCCTCTTTGGTCTTGTTTGTATAGGATTTCCTAAGGAAGTGTTTCAGAGAGATTATATACTAATCTAGTGTCAGATCTATGATATGATATAAGATTGTCTAATATTTTTAAATTTCTTATCTAATGCTAAAATATATTTTACCTAAGACATCATTTTAATTAAAACAATCTAAAGAATTTTATTCATTCAACAAATATAAAGTTTTACTGTATTATTTAAGGACTATTTACTGCTTTGTTTTTGAGAAAATCATTATGCTACTCTTTTGAACCTGAAGATAATTGGGAAATATTCCCTTCTGGCCATCTCCTGTGGGTACCTTCAACAGCTGAGTAAGTGCATATAAAAGGTCTAAACAGAACGTTTCCATAATGTGTGTATGCATTTGCTAATCTACAGGTAAGAGAATATATCAGATCATTTGCATAATATTTAGGAGATTGTTGTTGTTGCCAAGTGCCATCAAGTCAGTTCAGATTCATAGTTTGAATAGAGTTACCTAGGAACTGCTGATAAGTTTGAACTGTCAACCTTGTGGTTTGCAGTCTGCTGCTCATCCTACAATGCCACACCAGGATTCTATTTAGAAGACAGAATCTCAAATATTAAGGTACAATGTGCTATGAAATTCCCAGTATTAAAAAAAAAAAAAAATCTTCTGTTCTATCCTGTGACCTTTAGTTCTACCCTTTAGCATTAGTGAATATTATGCACCCATCAAAATGCGATTTTAGCAGATTTCTACCCAATACTTTAAAACTCATACTTCCTATAATAGAACACAGGAAATAGAAAACATTAATCGTGTGCTGGTAGAGGTAAACAAGAGCCTTTACAGTGGATGTATGCTTTAATTTTCCTAATGGAAGATAATAGCCTGGTTCAAAGTAAAAACAAAGGGAAGAAAGGTATGAAAAAATATATCAATAGAAAGTAAGAATATTTAACTATTCACTCCCTAGTGACTTATGTTTGGATATAAATAATTAGGGAAAATGTATAAATTAAATTTATTGTGCTTGCTATTAAATCTAGAAGTCTCTTAAGATTAATACTTCTCCTGGTGTGGCCCTGTGGATTAATGGGTTGGAGCAAGGTCAATTTTAACCAGAGCTCACCAGTCAGTCCTTGGAAACCCTATACTGGGTCGCTATGAGTCAGAATTGACTCAGCAGCACTTAACAACGACAACAATCTTTCTCTATATTAATGACTTGAAAGATGTTTGTTTTATTGGTCATAGGGGCAAGGGGAAGTTGCAGATGGTGGGATACTGTAGAATAAACACTAGATTACTAACTGCAAGGTAGATGGTTCAAGCCCACCAGTCGCTCCTTGGAAACCCTATATAGGGTGTTATAGTCAGAACTGACTGCTGTTGTTGTTAGTAAGTGCTGTTGAGTCGGTTCTGTCCCACAGTAACTCTGTGTAGGGTTTCTATGGAGCAGCTGGTGAGCTTGAACCAGAAACCTTGTGGCTCAATGCAACAGCGTAACACTAAGATTCCCCAGAATTAACTAGACAGCACTTAACAACAATAACAACAATGTAACAGGAAAACATTTCCATCTAGAAGGATGGGAAGTACCTGCACTTTGGGATCAGGAAAAGTTGTGATCGAATCCTATAGCTCTGGTACTTACTGGCTATGAGGATTTCTAGAAAGAGATTTTAAGACAATGCGCTAACTATTCTATTCTGGCAGCAAGTGCTCAACAAATGATATCTCCTTTACATTACCAGTACTTCAGTGTTGGGTCCAAGATATGCAGAGTTATCTTCTTTCTTGTATGATGATATTTATAGAATTAATATTTACATTGATTTCTGAAAAGTGATCCAGTCAAATTGTTCAATCATCATTAGTCACTTTGTCTTGCAACTTTGACTCCTTGCCAAACCTGCTAATCTTGACCTAGTTATCATCAGTGTAGCTTCTCTCTTGTCAGAAAACAGAAATGCTGGTTTTGAGAAAAGTTTAATTCAAAGGTTTAGTATTTATGTTTCTTTTTTCTCCCTCTTCTTCCCTTCCTTTGTTTGTTTTTACTATATTCTTTCTATAAAACCGAAAACCAAATAAAGTCCACTGTAATAATGGCAAATTGAGTTATTATCTGAGTTAACTTTATTTTTATCATAGGTTCACATAATTCACAAAGCACCTGTACTTGCGGGAGAATAAGTCAGAATCATGAAGGCTTATTTCATATTTCTGAAACTTTATTAATAAAAATTATACTCAAAAAAGTCAGAAGAAGATGATTGTTGTTGAGTGCCTTTGAGTCAATTCCTACTCACCGTGACCCAGTATAGGATTTCTGAGGAGCAGCTGGTGAGTTTGAACCACTGACCCTGTGGTTCGCAACCCAGTGCTTGTCCTATTGTGACATACCAGGGCTAGCCCCACCTTTATAATTATAATACTATGATCCATCTGATTTACTCTTGACAGAATAATGTTTAATTGCATATTGATAATCATCGAACATTTTGTATTACATATATTTAGGTCTTCTAGGTGCATACATGTTTCATGATATTGCTTATATTATTAATTTTGTGATACCGTATTTGCTAACTTTTTAAAAACAAATATACATGATGACAACTGTTCAATTTTGTGTATCTGTTCTCTAATTATTGACAATTCTCCTAAGTCATCCTTACCTTATCTTTTCCAGGATCTTGTATGTATTTGAATTTGTTCCTCTTTAATTGCTCTAGTCTACATGGATCAATTGCTTATTGAGCTATCTCTATCAATGTATTAAACTTAGAGCTTGATTTAAATTATTAATTTAAATAGTTTACAGGTCACTATTTATAGCAGATTCTGTTCATCGAAGACTAAGCCAAATTTCCTAATCAGTAAATTTCAGTAATTTAAAAGTAAGGAGTCCTGAGTAATGCTAGGGGATAGTCACTGGTCTAAAAGGTCAGGTTGAGCTGCCAGATCAGTGGTTCAAGCCCATGAGCCGCTACATGGAAACCCTATACAGGGTCACCATGAGTCAGAATGGAGTCAACAATTGACACAATTATTTTGGAAATGACATGATTTAAAATAATGAACAGATGTTTTAATCTTCCATTTCATTCTGCAGAGTAAAACTGACTTTTTATCTACTGTTTTGTCATTGCCTAATGAGTCATTGCTGGAAAATTATGCATTTCTGCAAAATTCAATGTGAGAAATCAGTGAGGACATGGTTAGTGATTCTTTGAGTCACAATATTATGAATTCCTTTCATAGAAAGGCAAGTTGTGATATCAAGAACGTTTTAAAATTGTTCCATGAGCTGTCAACATGAAAAATGTCACAGAAGTCACCAACTTTGTTCTGAAAGGCTTCACAAACAAGTTTGAACTGCAAGTCATCTTATTTTTTCTATTTCTAGCAATCTACATCTTTACTCTAATGGGGAATTTAGGACTGGTTGTATTGGTCATTGGGGATTCTCGACTCCACAACCCCATGTACTATTTTCTGAGTGTGTTATCTTTCTTGGATGCTTGCTATTCCTCAGTTATTACTCCAAATATGTTAGTAAATTTTTTATCAACTAAAAAAGTCATTTCATTCCTTGGATGTGCAACACAGATGTTTCTCATTGTTACTTTTGGAACCACAGAATGCTTTCTTTTGGCGGCAATGGCGTATGATCGCTATGTAGCAATTTACAACCCACTCTTGTATTCAGTTAACATGTCACCCAGAGTCTATGTGCCACTCATCACTGCTTCATATGTTGGGGGCATAATGCATGCTACTTTACACACTGTAGCAACATTTAGCCTCTCCTTCTGTGCATCCAATGAAATTAGACATGTGTTCTGTGATATCCCTCCACTCCTTGCTATCTCCTGCTCTGACACTCACATCAACCAACTTCTACTCTTTTACTTTGTGGGTTCTATTGAGATATTTACCATCTTGGTTGTCTTGATCTCCTACGGTTTCATTTTGTTGGCAATTCTAAAGATGCGTTCTGCTGAAGGGAGGAGAAAAGTGTTTTCTACCTGTGGCTCTCACCTAACTGGAGTGTCAATTTATCACGGAACAATCCTCTTCATGTATCTGAGACCAAGTTCCAGCTATGCTTTGGATCATGATATGATAGTGTCAATATTTTACACTGTTGTGATAACCATGTTGAATCCCATCATCTACAGTTTAAGGAACAAAGATGTAAAACAAGCAATTAAAAAAGTGTTTGGGAATAATCGGTTTATCAATAAAGTATATTTTAAGCACTAAAACTATGCTGTTCTTTGGTGTCCTTCAATCAGTTCTGACTCAGAAAGACCCTAGCTAGAACACAACAAAACACCACCAAGTCTACACCATTCTCACAATGGTTGTTCTGCTTGAGCCTATTATTGTTGTGACTATATCAACCCTTCAAGCTTGGGTGTACCACTTTTTGTTGACCTTCCACTTAATCAAATATGATGTTCTTCTCCAAGAACTGGTCTCTCCTGGTAACATGTCCAAAGTGCGAGAGGCAAGTCTTGCTATACTAACTACTAAAGATTAATCTAGACATACTTCTTCCAAATAAAATTTGTTCATTCTTCTGGTTGTCCATGGTAAATTCAATAGTCTTCACCAATACAGTAATTCAGTTGCATCAATTCTTCTCTGATCTTCCTCATTCATTATCCAGGTTTCAAATGAATATGGGGCAGTTGAAACTATCATCACTTGGATCAGGAGCATCTTAGTCCTCAGAATAACATCTTTGATTCTGAACACCTGAAAGAGGTCTTTTGTAGCTGATTTGACTAATGCAATATGTCATGTACTTTATTGACTGATACTTCCATGAACGTTGTTTATGGATCCAAGTGAATTGAAATCTTTGACAAATTCATTCTTTTTCCATTGATAGTGATGCTATTTATTAGCCCAGTTGTGAGGATTTTCATTTTCTTTGCATTGAAATGCAATCTATACTGAAGGTTATAGTCTTCATCAGCAAGTCCTCTTTGATTCCAGCAAGCAAGGTTGTGCCATCTGTATATCACAGGTTGTTAATGAGTGTTCCTCCAAATCTGTTGCCCTGTTCTTCTTCATAAAATCCAGCATACAATTGAATAAGTATGGTGTAAAGATACAACCCTGGCACACACATTTCATAATTTTAAACAATTCAGTATATCCTTGTTTTGTTTGAAATATTTCCTCTTGGTCTGAAAAATATTGTATTCAGTTAACATATAACCCACAGTCTATGTGCACTAAAGTCAACCATCATGGCCGATTTCTCAATGTGAAGAAAATATGACAAAAATAAATGCTTATTGTAGTTTATATGGGGCGTTGATATTCTTCTTGTACATTATGAGAATAAAGAGCATAGTGAATCCTCAAGCTATGCTTTTATAGCACGTGCAGAAAACTTTTACTTCAATTGGCTTCTTAACTGTGTCAAACCCATATATGTATGTGTATGTGGTGGTGGTGGTTGTGTGCTGTGGAGGTGGTTCTGACACATAGTGACCCTGCATAAGGTTTCCGAGGCTGTAAATCTTCATGGGAGCAGAAAGCCTCATCTTTCTGCCATGGAACTGCTGGTAGTTTTGAACTGCTAACCTTGGGATTAGCAGTAATCATTATACTACCAGAGCTGCTTGTATGTATATGCTGGACTATGTATATAAGCATATATACTGTTGTTGTTCTTAAGTGCCATCAAGTGGGTTCTGACTCATAGCAGCCATGCATAGGGTTTCTAAGGAGCAGCCGGTGAGCTTGAACTACCTACCAATTTTGTTGTTCAAATCAACACATTAACCCATAGTGCCATACCACGACTCACTCTCCCTATCTCGTTCTCTCTCTCTTTCTCTCTCTCTCTCTCTGTAAGGAGCTCTGGTAGCATAGCGGTTACGAATCAGGCTGTAAACCGCAAGGTTTGTTGTTGTTATGTGCCGTGGAGTTGGTTCTGACTCATAGCGACCCTGTACAGGGTTTCCGAGTTTGTCAATCTTTACAGGAGCAGAAAGTCTCATCTTTCTCCTGTGGAACAACTGACCTTGCAGTTGGCAGCCCAATTCGCAATCACTATGCTACCAGAGCTATCTATCTATAAATAGATAGATAGATATAGATAGACATTAGATAGCTATAGATAGATATAGATAGATAGAAATACACATACATATATAATCTGTGCTTGAAAATTGTCTATATTTGTTCTCTTTTTTATGACTGTATCAGGTTGTTTCAAAAGGTTAATGGAAAGATTCTGTTGTCTTTTAATTCGAGTTTTCCACAAAATTTTTGAAGGCTTCTTATATATTGGAAAATGGAAAATAAAGTTAAAAAATATATTTATTTAGTATGTTGGTGCTGTTAAGTGCCTTGAGTCAGTTTCAACTCTGTACAGGGTTTCCCAGGAGACATTGCTAAATTTGAACATTGCAGCTAATAACCCAGTGCTTATCCTACAGCACCACACCAGGACTCTAGTATTGTTATTGTTGTTGTTATGTGCCGTGGAGTCGATTCCGACTCATAGCGACCCTGTACAGGGTGTCCGAGGCTGTAAGTCTTTATGGGAGCAGAAAGCCTCATCTTTCTCCCAGGGAACAGCTGGTAGTTT